CACACACACACACACACACACACACACGCACACACACACACACACACACACACGCACACACACACACGCACACACACACCTATCCAAACGACAGGCAGCCGCCGACATCCATCTATCGAATACTCATCATCCTAAATAACGACGCAAAAATCCAATCAATTTATTATTATATTATTTATTTATTTATTTATTTATATTTTAAATCCAATCAATCTAGGAAACAGTTGACTCACTCGATCCCGACAGACATGATTATCCATCTCACCCGGGGCCAAGTCCCACTACTAGCAGCGTTGAGTTTCCTCAACGCCTGAATCTGGACGTGTTTGAGGAGATGTGCAGAAGTCGTGTTGTGTTTTCTCAACCGCACATCTCCTCAAACACGTCCAGATTCAGGCGTTGGCGAAACTCCGCGCTGCTAGCGGGAAGGCCCCACCGCCATCGCCAATCGTGCACTCCTAATCAAAAACTTCCTCCGCCGCTTACGTACCTACGCTTCATGCCGCCTTGTTTTTGCCCTGCCAACAGCAGCCACGTCTGGGATATGCCTTAGTACTACATGGATATTCAAGATATGTACTCAGACAACAGAGTGATAGCCACGTCTGGGATATGCTTTGATATATGGATATTCAAGATATGTACTCAGACAACAGAGTGATCACACCGTTCCCGCGCCACATTTCCCACATCCCAAGATTGCTCAGAGAACGAGAGCCGGAGCGGGGAGGCGGAAGCAGGAAGCGGGGAAACTGGCGGACGTCCGCCCGCCATTCTCTTCGTGGTAGCCTTCTACAACGGGAAGGCGCAGGTGGGACCGAAGCGCAAGCGAGGGCGCGGGCTCAACCGTTCAGCCCTCCTCCACAGCCACTTCTCATATTCCACGATTGCTCAGGAGGGTGGTAGAACGGTTGGCGCGCTCCCGCTCCGGCTCCCCACCTGAGCAATCGTGGAGCCGGATCGCACCGACCATTCTACCCTTGGTGCATGGTATTGAAGAACCATTCTACGCACTCCCCACTCCCCGCTTCCTGCCTGGGGCAAGGTCCCACTTGCGCAAATTAGGAGATTTGGGCCGTTGATCTTTGCTATCTACGGTCAGGATCTCTTAATTCGTGCAAGTGGGACCTAGCCCCTGGTGTATTGAAGAACAATTCTCTGTGTATGGTATTGAAGAACAATTCTACCCTGGTGTATGTGTATGGTATTGAACACCGCGTTGAGATGCCAAGGTCGAATACGTACATTTCATTCATCCAGTTCCAACTGGGGGCCAAGTCCCACTAGCAGCGTTGAGTTTCCTCAGCGGCCGAATATGGACGTGTGGGTCGAGAAGTGCAGAACATGGCGCTGAGGAAACTCAACCTCACATCTCCTCAAACACGTCCAGATTTGGGGGTTGAGGAAACTCAACGCTGCTACTGTAATGGGACTTGGCTCGGGGTTCGAACTCCGGTCTACAATTCAAGAGTTCATGGGTAATACCAAACCAGATACGGCCGTTGATGGCAACCGCGCTTCGTTTCTGTTACCTTACAGAAACAGTGGCGAAACCAAGGGGCCTGCAGTAGCTCAGTTGGTACACCCATGAACTGTTGAAATACAGACCCCAGTCCGAATCCAGATGCAGTGAGAATTACCTATGGACGGTCAGTTCCATAATGACATCTGAAGGTTGTCGCCCTTTAAAAATAAAAAATAAAACAGCAGTGAAAGCGTGAGAACTTGGCTGAACGGTGCGTGCCTACGTGTCGGCTTATTAACCACTCAGGATTAATCTAGCCTGCTCATCAGACTAAACGGTGCGTGCCTACGTAGTAGGATGAACACGTGGCATGTGTATATGACCTTTGCTTGTTTACAGGGACGCTGGACCCGTTTTCCAGCAGGTTCTGCTCCCCACCAATAGGTGGAGCCTCCCCGAGCATGCTAGAGGTGTCTGCTCTCATCAGCACCCCTAGCGTTCACCTGGGTTGTTTAAACCACAAAAAAAAAAAA